ATTGTGAGCCGGATGCTGCCTATCGCTCCATACAATGGCCCAACAATCTCTCCAGTGGAGACTTGACTGTGACTCTTCCGAAACTTCGTCCGGGAGTCAAGCCGAATGACTATACGCCTGATTTGATGAAGAAGGTGAGCATGAACCCACGAATGGTCACTTTTATATAACGCTGATCTCAACTAGTTCCCGAGGGATCATCCTCTTTTCCCACTTCCTATCTTCGAAGGAGTCCACCTGAGGTTCTTCTTCAGTCCTGATATGTTGCCGCGCCTCTTCATGCCCTACATTCTCGATCGGAAGACGACGTATGGCAACAGTCCGTCTTTAGGTCTTCATAACCCGTCAAATGCTGAAGAGGGGCGGAAGAAGCTGGTCGTCGAGTTCTCTTCACCAAACATCACCAGTGAGTTTCAAGAAAAACATCTCCGGAGCACCATCATCGGCGCATTCGTAAGCAACATCCACGAAGCCTCAGGCTGGAGTGTCACGAGGATCAACTACCTTGGTGACTGGGGTAAACCAATCGCACTCCTCAAAGTGGGCTGGGAGAAGTTCGGAAACGAGGAAGCATTCCAAGCTGATCCAGTCGGGCACTTACTCGATGTATACCACCAAATTGCAGAGATCTTCCAACCCGAGGTGGCTGCTAGCAGACACGCGCGCGATGAAGCGGCAAAACACGGACAGGACGAAGGCGAAGCCCAGGCTGAGATCGAGAATCAGGGTATCTACGCTGAGCGCAATGCAGCCTCCAAGAAGCTTGAGGATGGGGACGAAGAAGCCATGACTTTTTGGAAACGCGTGCGGGATGCAAATATTGAGAACTACAAGGCCTTCTACGCAGAGCTGGGCGTCAAATTCGACGAGTATACTGGAGAGTCGCAAGTCAAGACCGAAACCATGGCCGAAGTCGAGCAGTTGCTGAAAGAGAAAGAAGTGTGCAAGGAGAGTGCTGGAGCCTGGGTAGTGCACATGCAGGACTATGGACTGAAGGCGGGAACTGCTATCATTCGCGATCGAACTGAAGCGACTACCTACCTTCTGCGAGACCTTGCAGCGATAATTGAACGGTCCAGGAAATATGAGTTCGACAAGATGATCATCGTCGCCGCGAATGACAATGGTGTGCACTTCACGCATGTTCACCACATCTTGAAGGCCATCGGAATGGAGGATCTGGCCAACAAAGTCCAGCACCTCAAATTCAGCGAAGTCTCAAAGATGTCTGAGAAACTAGGCAAAGGCTACAAACCGCAAGCCATCATAAGCCACTGCGAAGAGGGTGTCGCAACTACACTCGGGTCCGACACGAAAAAGGCTGCGATATTCGGAGGCGATACAGACTGTAAGAAAGCTCTCGGTATCGCAGCACTCCTCACGCACGAACTCTCCACCCGTACAGCAACTGCGCATTCATTCGATACCAGCGCAATGACTTCTTTCAAACCAGGAACTGGACCGGATCTGCAGTATTGGTATGCAAAATTGAGCGAGGTTCTCAAAGGCCAAACTGTTACCACAAAACTCTCGGATGAGGATTACGATGCGCTCGCGGATGATGATCCTGCGAATTTACTGCGGACACTGGCGCAGTATCCGGAGGTTACGCAGACTACACATCACTCACTAGAGCCGGCGGCGATTGTAACGTACCTGGCCAGTGTTACGGAGCGGTTGGCGGAGTGCTTGAACGATGATGATGAGGACGAGATCGACGGAGAGGTAGTGGAGGCTGGGGAAGCAGGGGAAGTGGACGGAGGGGAAGATGTAGTGAAAGAGGAGGATACGAAGAAGGAAGACGCCGTCACGCCGGGATTCATCGCTCTTTACGAAACCACGCGTGTAGTCTTGGAGAACGGGATGCGACTGCTTGGGCTGGTTCCTTATGCGAAACCTGCACTGGAACGCGCTGATACACCGGTCGCGGAATAATTGCAGTACTGCTTTTCTGTCTTCACCCGTTCTCATTATGTTTTCCGTGTTTTATTTTGCTCCTCAATATTTCTTCCTCCTTGATTATCGCGCTCAGTATTCCTTTCGCTATGACCACATGATACCAAATTGCTTTACTTCCCTATACCAAGTCCTGGATCTTGTAATTACATTCCACGACCTCATGATGGAAGTGATGTCACTGCAGCTTCCTGACGGCCGAATGTTATACACAATACTTTTACACTGCTAAGGACGTAAGCGCCTAGCTATCCAATCTTCATTCGATGATTTTCTTTCCATGATCACCTAAACTCAACGAATGCAAGAAAACACTGATGCATAATATAGGAACCAATCATTTCTCCAAGCTTGAATATAATATACAAGAAAACTATCACTTATGGACTGATTACATATGTCGTCAAACGATGTTCCGCGTAGCATCTATACGCAGGAGAATTCACAATCAAATCAAGCCTGCCACTAGAAGAGAAGCCGAAAAATAGGTAGTCACCGCAGTTGAACCCTGCAGTTCTGCAGCTGTGAGAAATTCCATCACGACACTTGAGCCATTCCCTGTACACAGACAGCTACAAGGAGATTTCCGCAACTCTTCAGCCTAACAAGGCGTTGGTCCCCAGCACTTCGTTTCCAAACCGGCGAACATGTTCGTATCACTAAACTTGGGCCTTCTGCACCACAAACTTCGCCACGGCAGGCGCATCCTGAGCATAAGTCAAATGATCAATCGTGATAAAGCCGCCCTTGCACACCGCATCATTTTCGTGACAAGTAATCAACGTTTTACCCTCGGAGCCCTTAATAGCGTTCGGGTTTCTCGGATCTCCAAACGTCACCACCGAGCTGATCTTCGCCATCGTTTCGGCAGGGAGTTTGTCGGCAGTGCTTCGGAGTACCAACGCTCCCTGCGAGTATCCCGATATTACGACTTTGGTGTTGGGGCACTTAGTGAGAGCTTGGTTGATGAAGTTGGTCCTGTCAAAGTTGGTTTAGCGGTCTCGTTCTCAGTCTCTGATGGTAGACGGGTTCAAAGAAGCATAAGTACTTACATACTAGGCACACCCTCTGCACCATTCTTATTAAACCCCGCAAAAGTAGCAGGATACTCCACACCTTGGACGGCTAAAGATTTGGTACCGAGTTCTTTCTTCAGAGCGTCCACGAACGGCGGCCCCGTCACAAGCCCCATATTCCCCGGTTCCGTCGTCCCCCGGGCATACACGAGCGTCATGTCAGCGCAAGGAGCATTTCGCGCCAAGTCCGACTTTGTCGTCTCGATCCCGACGGCATTTGCCAGAGCTTGTTGGAGAGGGGTGAGGATCCTGCCGATGCCGTCGAGCGCCTGTTCGCCTTGGGGGAGAGTGCTGAGGATCCTGAGGAAGCGGTTTAGTAGGCCGGAGGGAAATTGAGCGAGAGGAGCTGGGATGGCGGCTTGCGAGGAGGCGCCTTGGAAGAAAGCTGCGTTGGTGGCGTTGATTGTGGGGAATGCCTCATCGACGTCGAGGTCCAGATTGATGTCAGTGGTGTCGGTGGGAAGGCCATGGACGAGGACTGCTGACTGTAGTGCTAGAGCGCACAACAGAACTTTTGCATAGTGCAGAGTGGGGAGTGTTGGAAACATTATGCTGGCGAGGAACGTGGAGTGATTGGGAACAGATGTGGTCTGACCAGGGCGTCACGGTGAGGTTGCGGTGGCTACCTATGGTAGGTGAAAGCGGAAGTCAACTCGGGGGTTTATATAGTTACATCTTGCGCGTTTCAATAAACATCGGCAATTGTTACGCCGGGTCAAAACGCCGATCCAAAAGCTGGAAATTCTTGCTCTCGTGGCCTCCTTTCGCAGGATTTCATTTAAAGCCTTCTGTATCCTTGGTGTTGACCCCGCCCTCATCCCTAAACCAGTGGAACAAATGCTCCCACTTCAAGGGTAGACAGTCGATAACATGGAGAACCCAGCACCGGCATTTAGTATCCAGTGATCAAGGAGACGGATCAACGTCATTTTACTGCTATTCTGAGACATCATTTGACATCAACTCATTACCCCTGAGGCAGTGTAAAGCGTGAACCAGAGGGTAGGCCTCACTTACCCCAGAAAAGGAAGACCCCCCTGCCTTTCCTGGATCAGAAGCAGTGGCTGGACCTCGGTCGTCCATTTGTAAAATCAACCATCAGGTGACTCTGACGCAAAAGGTGCCCAAACTTTCCCACAAAACATGCATTCAGAAACACAGAGAGGGTGGAACAACTCTCTCCGCATTATCGTAGCCCGACCTGACGGGGATCGGCGCATGGTGGTTCCCTGCGCCGAAAGCGACGGGCAGGGGTTGGCCTCACATGTTGCCGAGGTCGGCAAGAAATAGGTGACTGTCGAAATCAAGTAAACAGAGTACAGTACATAAATGAAGAACGTTTGAATAAGGTTTGCTAAATTAAACAAGTAATCTATAGCCGCAGCGTTATGTGTCAAATGTTTGGATTTGGCGGATCATCATTGGTCAGAAATGCCTACTTTGCACATGTCGTCTTGCGTTGTAGCACTTTCAAGTCGAGCTATCCAGAAAAGAAAAGGCTCCTACAATATTTATCTTTGGTGTTCTCTCATGCGACTCTTCATCATCATCAGCATCATCCCCATCTCATCATCGACGTTCCAGCCTAGCGGTCTCTGTACCTGTAAGTTACTTTACCGAGACCGCAACTCTTGCATGCGCAAGACAGGATAGTAGCGGTAGTAAGCAAAATTCATTTCGCGAAAAACCTAAATTGTGATGGTGCACGCGTCCTGCTCTTCCTATAAAGTTTATAGAGGGGCAAGTCGGCATCACACGGGTTGTCTACCTGGTGACCCCTGCACGAAGATTTTTTACCTCCCGTGACTTATCTGTGCCTTCCCCCATCTATGCACATGTAGGGCAGTTTCTTTGCTGGCGCTTTCTCCCCACAACCCACTCCCTCTAGTTCCGGCCAATTTACCTTAACGTAATTATACTGATATATATACTGTCTAAGCCCAAATTTTTCTAAATTCAACAACAACATCCGATATGGTCTAGTGGCTAGGATTTGCCGCTCTCACCAAAGAGCAGTTCACTCTCAGTAGTGCCGGCAAGGCCCGGGTTCGATTCCCGGTGTCGGAATACTTATAATCTTTTTGCATTTTAGCGGTTCTGCGGTTTTTTTTTGTAGACCAGACGGCAAGGCTGTGAGGAGACCCTTGAGAAGGCGAAATTGCAAATATAAGATTCGAGATTAGAGACTAAACGCTTCGTCGCAGAGACTGTATGCATGTGTATGTATGTGCCTCAATTCACCATCACTCCACTCAGCCATTACAACAGCCCAACCACGTAATCCTCTCCCCTCTATTTCACCCCAAGCATCTTATAAACAACGCCAGCAATCCAATCCGGACCTTTGAAGAAAACATTATGTCGATGAAAGAAGGAGCGATTCTTCTTGCCGAACACATCTTTGCACAAAAAGGTCAGCCGTTTTCACTTTGAGAGGGATGGGTGGATGATGGATGCAGGAGAGGAAAAAAGGATTGAACTTACACAAAGGAACCGTAAGCATGCAAATGCCCACCTGCACGCTCGAGATGGCGATAAAGACGTCCTTGATGCCGCCCTCCACGATCCAGTCGAAGCCCTTGTACGTCAGGCCGAAGGAGAATAAGTTCTTGAAGACGAGGAGGCAGGTGAAACCTTCGACGGACATGTCACCTGTTGTGCTGTTAGCACGGCATTCCCTCCCAGTACGTACTGACCTTAGGAATCAGGTCTCTAGGAAGGGAAGGGATAAAAAGGGAAAGGCCAGAAAGACAAAAAGAAGAAGAAGGAAAAGACTCACGATGCGCATCAACAATATACAACGCACTAGCAACAGCCCCACAAACCATACCCGCAACCTCCATCCCAAAGAAGAAATCCGGCCACACCCATCCATACCTCCCGGGGTCCTTGCTCGTCCAACCAAACCCATAAAGCCCCGCGCAGCCCAGCACGAGCTGCGGCAGCACCAAGAACATGCGGAACTCGGGCTCGTAGACGCCGCGGTTGAGGCGCGTGAGGAAGCGCGCGGAAGGGTCGGAGATGAGGCCGCAGAGGATGAAGCCGAGCAGGGCGCCGATGAAGGCGCCCGTGTACATGTAGCCGGTTTGGACTTCGGAGAACCAGAGGGGCGGGCCCAGGAAGATGCCTGCGAGGACGACGCCGATCATGACCGTCCAGCCGATTAGGGCGCCTTGGATGAGGCAGGCCTGTTGGGGCGAGGGTCAGTCAAGAGTTTTTGTTTGCGGGGAGAAGAGGAGAGGGGAGGGAAATGCGAGATGGGGGAAGTTGAAGGGAAAGAAATGAAGACTCACCCATAGTATCGCCGGATGAAAGAAGAGCGGAAACGGCCTCAGAAGCAGATTCAAATACCCTTCATCCGTCTTCCTCCCATTAAACGGCAAAATACTCTTTCCCCAGCTAACTTTCTGCGGCACAGTTTTCCGCTCCGCCTCCCTAACACTCTGCTCGCCCTCCCCATTCTCACCCTCCCTCTCCATCTCCCCCGACGTCGACGCACTCGTCCCAACCGTCCCATCCGCCCTCACCCCCACCGCTGGATTCCCAATAAGATTCCCCAGTGTATCAATCTCAAAGCGACTCTCCCTCCTATACGCCGTCTCAGGACAAAACAGCACAAGCAGCGGCGCCAACACAGCCCCGAAAATAGCCACAAAGTAGAAAGTCCACTGATACCCCATCTCATGCGAGATCTTGCCCACAAGCACGGGCGTGAAAAACGCACCCCCAAACACCATGAAATTACTCCCCGCCATCCGCACCCCTCTTTCATGCACACAGTACAGATCGCCCACACTGGCATTGACCAGCGCCTCGAACGGCGCCAGCCCAATGCCCTGGAAGATGCGCGCCCAGAGCAAACTCGTATAGTTCTTTCCGCTGGCGCCGCCCCAGGCGGAGGAGAAGATGACGAAGAGGGCGCCGAGGAGGTAGACGTGGCGTTTGCCCCAGATGCGCGCCGAGGGCACGAAGAGGAAGCCTGCGAGGCCGACGCCGAGGAGGTGGTAGCCGGTTAGGAGGGCCATTTCGGTGAAGGTGCGGTCGAAGTAGAAGGCTAGGGATGCGGTGTTTGCGGCGAGAAGGGGAGAGAGGGTCGAGGCTAGGACGGCGAAGAGGGAGAGGAGGGAGGTTATTGTGTCGCGTTTCCATAGGGGCCAGTTCTGTGGTTTTTGGGTTAGTTTGTGATTTCTCTCGCTCTGTTTCTCTCGCTCGGTTGCTTTCGTCTCATGCTGGAGGTGTTGGATCGCGGGAATAGGGTCACGTACGAGTGGATCATTCGGATCATCAGACGGCTGCGGCACAAGTAAAAACTTGCCCGTCTTATCATACTTGAATCGTGGATCTCGTCCACTGCCTTCTTCGTCGGCGCGGAGTCCTTCGGCTTGGAGCACATTCGCCGTTCCTGTTCACCGCCGCAAACACCACAGTCAGCATTCATTCCCATTCATTCCCCCCCAAACCCGAGACTTCAAAACTCCAAAATCGAATAGAAGAACTCCGCCCGCCCCCGCAGCGGTACCCCACAGTCCCAACTTCTCGCGTGCGCATGTTGTTGCTTACCAGGGACGTGCTCAAGCTTCCCATCCTCCAAGATCCCGAGACCCATTATTCTTCCCGTTCCCGTCCGCGTTCGCGGTCGCGATCCGTTCCGTTCCCGTTTCCGTCGCGTTGCGTTGCGTTGCGTTCTCGTTCTCGATCCGTCACATACCTCTTCCGCGCGAAGTCTTAAGAGAAGAAGGAGAAAGCAAATCTCACATCGGACGAGACGGAAATAAATGAATGAGGGGTGACACCAACGAAATGCACAGCCCGCGGGTGCATGCGGGCGCCGGGCGCCATCAATTCCCAAGCGAGCGGTCGCAGATCCGGGGTCGACGGATGATCGTTCACCAATCAGACCCACATTGGGGTTGAACCGAAACCATAAGCAGCAGGTTTCCTGCCGAATCGGTCGGCGGAGCTGACCGGGGCGTTACAGCTGGACCGTGGTTGGTTGGAAGTTATGGGCTGGCTTTTTACTTTCTTCACTTCGGATTGGTTGGGAGAGTTTGATGAAGGGTTGGTTGGAGCAAGGCACAGGAACTTCCCTCAGAGACACAGACACAGACATAGACACAGATAGTTTGTGGATATGTTCATGTGGCACGGCATTTCCCACTTTCCTTCAAAGTTCCATCTCCACATTGACCTGCACATTATTTTCACAAGCAAAGTACGTGGTAAGATTCCTTCCAACGTATATATTCGCCGAGGTATCACCTATACTGCAGACCTTCTTCCCCCATTCGGTCCATTCATCCCAAAAAACGTATCGCCGGGTTCTGCTCCCGGTCCCGGCCCTGATTCCGCTGAGGTGTCAATCTAAAGCCTATTCCATCGGGCATCCATGGTATGCTGTAGAACTCCAATCCCAATCCCGAGCAAACCTTCAAAAGAGCACCGAGCACCGCACCCTACCCGATTCAAGCCTTGATGCATCCAAAAGCGACGGCGCCTACGATACCTGAAATCATGACGATCCCGAAAGGAAAACAACAACGCCCCGATCCACCACCCGTGAAAAAGAGAGCCAAGGCAAGCCACCTCAAAACCCGAGGCGGACAATAGTGAAAACGAATAGAAAATCAACTACTAAAAACGCCAATGTGAGAGTTGCATGTACGCTCCCCCACGTAGTGAAATTCTGGTATCATTGCAAGCCATTCTGAACAAGTCAAGAGAGGAGAGAAGCTTACGCCGAAGCCAAAAACAACTCCAACCCCAGACGCCTGCTAACCAGAAAGTGATAACGATATTCGCGGCATGCTAGGGACAACGCGATGAATGATGTTCAAACTGGTTGAGAAGAAAAGAAAATGAAGGGGAAAAGATGGAAACAATGAGAGGCTCGTTTAACGTTGAGACGCCTCTCCCAAGTCAACGCCGTAAAATGCAATGCTTGACTCGCAAATGCTGATGCTGATATGTTCTTCGGCGGCCATATGATTTGTTTTCGCGGTCAATGCGATCTGGTTACCTGGCGGTACCGTGTGACGAAGGCGAGCTGCGAGCGGAGGGATAAGGGGCGGCCGCGCTGGTAATGGATGTTCGCTTCTGAGCTTTTGCAGCCTTTTGAGCAGCCAACTTCTTCTTTAGTATGCTGTGGCGTCCATTCATGTTCTCAAGAACTACTTCCCGTCAGTCATGATCAGCTTGAACGAAAGGGTTGATAGCTTACGCATTTGGATGGACCTGCGATCTTCAGATTCCAGCCCATTGATTTCTTCACCATCGAGCCTACGGCTGGATGAATCATCATCGTCTTCGAGGATGGCTTCCAACAAGCGTCGTGCAGTCCAATAGTTCAAGTCACAGCCTTCTAGGTCGGCGCCAACAAGCTCATTGACAGCGGCTTGTCTGCTCATCTCAAGAGATCGTTCATACATCAATTTCTCAGCCGTAACTCCAGTAGTCAAGAGGATGTTATCCGCAGACCCAATTGTCGTGGCTGATCCAGCGTCTTCTGACCGATTGTTCGGATGACTGGGATGGTCCAGAGGAAGCAATACCTGAGCCTGCTTCAACTTGCGTGCGACCATTTCTGACTTTGTGCAACATTCGTTGAATCGATCACGGACCCAGTTCACCACATTCTCCATGCGATCACGCAAGCCCTCTGAAGGCTGGTGCCTGATGCGAGCCCAGGCACGTCCAGTGATGTCTGTGGCCTTGTTGAGCATGGTGAGAGCTTTGACATAGAGAACGAGCGCCTCTTCCGCGATAGTCAGAACAGTCTCCGGTGTCAATTCGTCATCTTCGTCTTCTTCCTCCTCTTGCTCCAGCCTTCTAACACCAGTACGGCCAATACCCAGCCCTTGATCACTCGGCGGTACTGGAACGAGTTGCTTATACTTGACCTCCGCGAAGCCATACACAACATGGCTCAGCTCGGCGAGTTGCTCAATCTTCTTGATAGCAGCGGCGTCCTCGTCCCTGCCTGCAATCCTTCCACCGTCTCCAACTAGCAAGAGGCTGCTTTGAGCTGTAGGGTAGACAGGGAAACCAGCGTGGCCTTGCGGTGGAGAGAC